AAGAGGTTGCTGCCTGTGTTCTCCTTTAGGATTTGGATGGACTCCTGCCTCACATTTAGGTCTTTCAACCACTTTGAGTCTATTTTTGTGTGTGGTGTAAGGAAATGGTCCAGTTTCATACAAGACAGCCTCTTAACTTACTGGAAAGGAAAATACAATTTGGTCATAAGAATGTCAAATTTGACCCTTTTTGTTGAGTACTGGTTCAAGAAATCCTTTCCTAAGCACCTACTTTGTGCCAGATTTGGGTCAGAAGAGGCAGAAAGTCTGCTCACGCCTCAAAGGTTTCCTTCAGGGCAGCACTTTGTCTGTCTGTGTGTCCACTGAGCAGCACAAAAGGGGGCTGCAGGCAGGAGACTCCCTCCCTCCTCCACTTTCTCCCTGCCCCTCACCACCCGCCTCCTGGCCGAATGAGGTCTTGCCAGGGCTCTGCCTTGACTGGGACAGTGCTCATTGTTGCAGAACAAATCTCAAGCATAAATGGTGAAAGAGTTATTTTTAAAACTTATCTGAGAATTATCTGAAGCTTTCAACACTGTCAAATTCTGGGATTTTGTGAGTAATTCTGTCTCCACTCTATCTATGTATATCCTGATTTTACAGAATTTGATCTCATTCTCCTTTCGGAACCAGAAGACTCTCTCTGGCAACCCTCTTCAAAACCCCCTTTGTGCCCCCGGTTCGGTAATACACAGAAGCGTCTCCTTGGAGGCACCCGAGGGTGGAAGCAACAGCAGCTGAATGGAAAGCCACCTCCTGGCTCTGGCTCAATGACCCTCTCACTAGCTGACCAGCAGCAAAGCACCAAGTCTTGGCTTCCTGTCTACAAAGATCCTTTCCCTGTCGAGTGCACTGCATGGGTGTGCAGAGGAAGGATGCTAAGGGCCAGCAGCTTCTCTGGTTGGACAGACCTTCAAGGTACTCTAACACAATCTGTGCTTATATGTGAATGTATGCCATCAGTGAAATCCGGATTTGGGGGATCCAGGCAACTCCGAGTATGGAAATTTGGGTATGGAAATTTAAGATTTCCAGGAGGGGACAAATGTTAAAGGTTTGGTATTCCTGAGTTTGAGCTTTGTGATCCTTCACCCAAGGCTGGTTTTATTTTATTTTATTTTTTTAAAGATTTTATTTATTTATTTGTCAGAGAGAGAGAGAGTGCACGTGTGCACAAGCTGGGGGAGCGGCAGGCAGAGGGAGAAGCAGGCTCCCCGCTGAGCAAGAAGCTGGATGCAGAATTTGATCCCAGGACCCCAGGATCATGATCTGAGCTATTAACTGACTGAGCCACCCAGGCGTCCCCCAAGGCTGGTTTTAAAAACAAAACATACACACACACACACACACACACACACATCCCAAGTCCAATTACTTAGAGCTACATCTGGAACAGCTTTCTTCTTAACACCTCTCACTTTACCAGATGGCTTCATGTTAAAGTTTCTATTTCCACTCAGAAAACTCTACATTGTTACCCACTGCACAGTAATTACAAAGCAAACATGAGACATTTGAAAATATTTTCTGTCTCTCAAGTATTTACAGTAATTGAAACCACTATCCCCACAATCACCAGCCCAATCCCAGTGAGCTGAACCCTCCCATGCTGGGAAGGAGAGACTGTGATCCGAAATGTGCCCATGACTGACATGGGCCAGGAGCAGTCCCATCTTCAGTGGAAACCGACTGAGCCTTTCTTCATGTTCTTATGGCAGATGAAGCGATCGAATAAGGCTAGCGTGGGGTGCCTCTTTTCTCTCTCTTTCTACACCAAGGGACTGGTGTTTTAGGGAAATTCAGACAAAGAGCTACAAGCAGACGGCTCTTGCAAATCACCAGGAAGATGAAGTCTGAAAACTGTGTTGCCGTAGTAAACGGTGACAAAGTGGGGAAAGCGTTTTTTGTTTTTTTTTTAAAAAAGGGAAAGAAACACCTATCGACGAAAACTGGCCTTGATGTCCTTCAACGAGCTTTCTTGAAAATAACATTCTGTAACCATTACGACATCACAGAAAAGGGACCAGGAAAAACTCGTTTGAAGAGGTCCACGGCATCACTGAAATTTAGACACCGAGTGTGAAAGCATCTGGCGTCGTAATGAACCACAGCAACACAGGTTTAAGTGAATTCTTCCCTGGCTGAAGGTTTATTTAGAAAATACCTTCAAGCAATAAAAGCTCAATTTAAAATTAAGATCTCAAATTACCTACATTTAAAAAAAATGGAAACACTCACATTTTTGTTTCATAGTCCTTCCAAGCTTTATCAAAAGGCTTTTTCAGATCCTGTAAACAGAGAGGCATAAATTAAACAGAACCAATATTAACTTCTGGGCAAGACAACTTACTTATTCCTAGACTAGTCCTGAAAGGAGCATTAATTTCTGTAATAAATGATGTATACAATTCCATGAAAAATAAAGAACTTAGAGCTCAGGCTTTGAATGCGACTAGCAGCTACGCCACACGCACACAGAACAAGTGGAATGAATAGGAGAATGTCCCCTGAGAGATGTAACCCTGATTTGGGCCCAGCAAAAACGATATCAAAGCCATTCACCTTCTTCTGAGGTCTCCTGATTCCACTCTTCTATCTAGAACTTAGGACCTCCTACACTCTGATAAAGCCTGGCTCAAAGCATACTGAGCCACTGGAAAATTCTATCCAGTGGTTCCCCCCATTTATGTTCCCTTTAACAGGGTTCTTTTTGTAAGAAAGAACCTCCTTTGGGGGGCTTATTTTTTATTTTTTGGCTCTTCACTGGCCTTATTATGACAAGGCCGAAGCTCCTAGCCCAGCATCTAAGGCCTTCCATGAACTTGGAAGCCTCATCTCCCACTCCTGCACCCCCCCAGACTCAGGGCATCAAACCATACAAAAAGCCTCAAGAGCAGCACCCTGTCACGCTTCTCCCTACCTGCACGTGCGTCCCTCTGCCTCATGTGCCCTGTCCTCCCATTCTGCTGGCTAACTTGAGTTGGCTGATGTGTTCTCTAGGACCCTGGTCCGGGACGACGAGGAATGTTCCTCAGTGTCCTAACGGCTCGCCAGGCCCAGTGCTCCCTGCCCCAACAGCCCTGGCATGCTCTGGGAAGTAAATACTGAGAGGTCTCTGCAGAGGTCATGGAGATTGGCCAGCCTGGGCTTCCAGATGAGCCAGACGTGACTGGGAATCACGTGCAGATCCAATCAGAGAATTTGATCTAAGAACTGGGGCACAATCATCTGTCTTTCAGATCACACATCTGTTCGTGCCACCAACATGCAGAAGCGGCTACTGCTCGGCATCTGGTACAGATACCGCTCGAGCTGACTTCCTCACTCACATGTTCATGAAACAATTCACAGCAAGGCGCTTCCTGAACAGTGAACGTCCTTCGGAGGACAGAAAAAGAAAGTCCGTTCGAGCCTTACTGGTGCAGATTCTCCTGCCGGGAAACTACATCCTAGCAAGGACCCTTTGGCCAGTGGTCAGCCAGCGACACGCCGGCCAGAAAACCACACTTCCCTGCACAGGCTCCCCTGCTCAACCGACAGAGCGCGAAAACCATTCACAGGCTTCAAGAGAGCTGCTTCTTTCCCTTCCCACCCTCCTCCCCTTCCCACATTTACAGCACCAACAGGGTGGCCAGAAGGGCCTTGGGGCACCATCGGTAGGACTGAAAGGTGGTGCCAACGTAGCAGATCAAGGGAACCTGAGGCAGCAAGAAGCCATCATGCCATCCAGGAGGAAGGCATGTGTGTGCCGTGCCCCGACAGGCCAGCATGACCGTGACTCTACGTCCCCCAGTGACTGTTCCCAGTGAGCTGGGTGGTCGACGGCTTACCCCTTTCACTCCTTTCAGGTCTCCTTTCAGCAAACTGTCCAGGGGGAAGGAGATGATGTTGTTCATATTCTGAATCTAAAAAGCAAACAAACAAAATTCTTATTCGATGTCTTTTTTTTAAAAGATTTTATTTATTTATTTGACTGAGAGAGAGATAGCAAGAGCCGGAACACAAGCAGGGGGAGTGGAGAGGGAGAAGCAGGCTTCCTGCGGAGCAGGGAGCCTGATGCAGGACTCGATCCCAGGACCCTGGGATCATGACCTGAGCCGAAGGCAGACGCTTAACCGACTGAGCCACCCAGGCGTCCCTCAATGTCCTTTTTAATCTGAAGTAAGGACAGCAAGATCTTAGAGAACACCTGGTAATAATTAACCTCCCCTGAAAACCTGGTCGGCACGAGCAGGACAGCCTTATTCATTCCTATGCTCCTTGTGGTGGTCGTACCTTGCCAATAAAAACATAACTCTCAGAAAGTCTGTATTTCTCTATTCTTCACAACAATAACAGCCTTCTATTAAACTATTTAGTTTTGTGAGAAGATCATCATTATGACAAAGAAAAATTATTTCAAAACAATCACTGACAGAACCACTTTAAAGATACCGAATAGAATTCACAAACACACACTTCCTGCTCTCACTCACAGCTCCAATGTTCTGGGCTACGCTTCACTGAAGTCTCAGGGCCCACAGACCCCAATCTCCCCAGAAAAGCCCCCCACAGGGGAACTCAGAATGAAGAAGAGAATCTCTTCTTCTTGGTGAATGTGTAGGAGCCAATGTTCAGAGAGAGGAAGAGAAATGAGTGTGTGTGTTGCATGTGTTGTGTGTGTGAAGTGTGGGGTGTATGTGGGACGTGCGGTGTGTGTGTGTGTTGCTGGAAAAGGAGAAAAATGAGAAAAGGGGGGAGGGAGGTCTTGAGCTGCTCTGTTCTTCTCCCTGAAGCAAGAAGGCCAGGGACGGAGGCTTAGCACATTGTCACCACGGATTAACTTGACTAGAACCAAACCCTCCCGACACACACTCAGAGCACACTCACAGCAAGCACGGCTGCCCCTGCTGGCCTCAAATGTGGGAAGCTAAGACACCAAGCTTCAGTTGGGGACAGTTAGGTACTGGCTCCCTGTGTTCTGAGGCCCATGCAGTCCCTCCCCGGCAATCAGCTGAGGATCTACTTTCTCCTCGCCCCGGCTTAGCGCACCGCTGCCGTGAGTCAACACACATGCCAGCTGGCAATGCTGGGGCCTTGGGGCACATGTCACTTTGGGGTACACACACCTAGATTATGGGCCTATAAAAGAGGAGCGACAAGTAAGGACTCTGGAACCATGTGCATTTATTCTTACCACTGAGCAGAGGAAATTTTTAATTTTAGTAGAATTACCTTGAATAGGAAAACCAACTCTAGGCACAATTTTCCAGGCAACATGGGATCTGATTTTCATATGCTATTTGGCATATGAAACCTCAAAATGGGAGGAACAAATGGACTAGAAAAATCCCTGCAGAGGTGTGTGACAACCCTGCACCCAGCCACCAACCGTGCCAAATACACAACCGACTCACGACCGTCCTTTCAGAAATGCCTTCTTTGGGTAACATTTGTCTGAGGCTTCCACAACTCAACGTTTGTCACGTCCCTGGCAGCCCTCCAAGGCACACTGTAATCAGCAGGGACTTGCGAGGATTAGCCTGAAGAGTTAGATTTTTAAACACCGAGAAGCGGAGTTTAAGGCGAGGTCTTCCGATGACTGGAAGGAACAGTGGCAAACAAAGGGCCGTGCTGGTGAATCATCTCTAATGCAAACACACCTGGCTTGCACTGTAAACCGAGGCAGGAGGGAATCCGAGGGCAGACTGCCACACGCCTGTCTCCTTCCACACCTCCACCCCCCGCCAGGACACCTGCTGGCAACTACGCGCCCAAGCCCGCTGCCACCGCAACCCTACCCGGCTGCCTCCGGCAGGTCCCTCCCGCTGGGCTCCGCTCTGCTCCGCCTTGCGGACCAGTTGCTCACCCACGAACTCCCCACTTGCCATTCTTGCCGCCATGTTCCTGGATGGGTCTCTCTGCCCCTTTTCTGGACTGAGACTCCTGGCCACCGGCCCCTGCTCTCTGCCTGACCCACCCCCTCCTCTGCAGCGCTGTCGGATTCATCTGGGGTGGTGTCCCTGATAAAGGTTAAACCGACTCCTGCCCTTGGGACCCTCCACGGTCCAACCCCCTTCGCCACTTTTCATCTTTATATCTGGCCAAGTGGAAGTCCTTGCTGTTCTCTGCTTGTGCTCAGTCTGCTCTACCCCGCTGAGTGTCCTCCCAATTCCCTCCCCCAAAAGCCTTCCCATCCATCAGGCTTTCCCCAGATGCTACTTTCTCCATTAACATCCCCCCAGCTGCCAGAAGGAAGTGATCCCTCCCTTCCAAATCCTCCAATATGTATATATTTTTAATTTCTTCAGGCACTTGACAGGTCCTACCCTGCTTCACCTCAGCAGTCTCACATCATACATCCTAAAGGACAGCTTTAAGTGCACTTCATTTTATATTCTCCGTGGCACCTAGCACAGGGCTTGGCCCAGAGCAGGTGCTTGAGAAACACGGACTGAGTAAATCAATATACTGAAGTATTTTTCTGAGCATCTAATACATAAGAGACAGACTTAGAGATATATTGATACCTTTAAACTAAACGTCATAGAGCAAATGTATACGTGAATTCATTATTCTGTTCATCATGTATTTATTGAGCATGTATTTTATAGGCAGCAACTAGCTGGCTACAAAGATAAAAACACAATGCCTGCCATCTCAAGAGGAAGAATAAAGAAATACACACCAAGAATTGAACATAGAAAGTCTAAGACATAGCACATGCAGCGTATTTTACTCTGTACAGATACCAGTGGCTCCTTGTGGAGAGAGACAATGACCGGCTCTGGGCAGCCGGGAGGGCCAACCTGTGCTTGGGCAAGAGGGGCCTGTCCCAGTTACTGAGCCTCGTGACACTGCCCATCCATCCACACAGTCACAAAGAGCCATGGCTAAGAGTCAAAGGCACAGATCAATTTGCTCCCGAACGTTGCCTAGAGATGAGCCAACACAGAGCCATCTTGGACGAGCAAGTGCAAGAAAGGGCAGCAAACACAGCCTGAAGGGGGAACATCAGAGCTGCCCAGGGTGGTCCCAAGGGCAGGAGTCGGTTTAACCTTTATCAAGGCACCAGCACAACTCAATCATACAGTGGGTGGGGGGGGAAAAGAACAAGGTGCTTGCAGATTAAAAATCTTATTACTAGAAAGAAGTCTAGTGGGTTTGTTACAAGAGGCATGTTTAGTAAGTAGCAGTGTATGGATGGATGAGTGAGGAAAACAAGATTCTCTACAGCAGGGGGAAAGAACGCACAATTCGGTTTATAAATCTATTTTAAGACTATTTGTTATTTAATTCAAACAAGAAAGTAGGTACTGATAGACAGGTGTTACGTCCAGGAGAGGTAAACTAAGCTTTGGTATTTAGAGTGAAACAGTAAAGTCGGAAACCGACAGCTATCCGTCGGGCTGGGTTGCTCTCAGTCTCGATGCCGTGGATGGGCCACAGCCTACTGTAACCAGGACAGGACACAGCCATGATGCCGTGGATGGGCCCACGGCCTACTGTGACCAGGACAGGACACAGCCACAGGACAGGACACAGCCACGATGCCGTGGATGGGCCCACGGCCTACTGTGACCAGGACAGGACACAGCCACAGGACAGGACACAGCCACGATGCCGTGGATGGGCCCACGGCCCACTGTGACCAGGACAGGACACAACCACTACAGCTGCCAGGGAGATGCACAGGGTCCTCAGGGAGTGACAGGGATGAAGCTGAAGAGGCACAGAGGGCTAGCAGACAAAGATGGACTAGACAGAACCTCAGTCCCCAGGAACTCACCATCTAATAGGAAAGATAAAGCCCACAATTAAGTAAGCAAACTGCCCTGTGAAAACTCCGAAGAGCCATAAATAAAGCACCATGGAATTTCTAAGAAAAGAAAATTACTTTTAGTCTGGACACCAGGGAAATCTTTGCTGACCGGGGGTTATGTGAGATAGACCTTCAAAAGAGGGAGCATTTCGTCTTGCAAGATGGGGTGAAGGTATCCCGGGCAAAAGGAGCAGGGTGGGGAAGTGAGCAAAGGCCCACGGCAGCCACGTGAGCAGAGGGGCAGGGAAGACAATGCTGAGAAGTCCGGGTGCCAGATGGACCAAAGGGGTTCTGGCCTTCGTTCCAGGGGATTTTTCTTGCTGGAGTTGTTCAAATGTCTAAAATAAGAAACTATTACTTCTCTTGTCAGAAAATAATTAGCTTAATTATTACAAAAGAGACAGAAAGTAGATCAGTGGTTGCCTGGGGCTGGGGGTTAACTGTGAGAGGACATGAGTGACCTTACTGGGGGCAGAAACTGTCTCCAGGCTGATGTATGGTCACGGCTACACCACTTGGTAGAGTTACTAGAAATCACTGACTTATATACTTGAAATGGGTGAGATCTACGATATGTAAAATATACTTCAATAAAGCTGTTTTTTTAAAAAGAAATACACGATTACAAATACAAACAGAATCCCTGTCAGTGGATACATTAATCCAGCTTCGTACTCCTGGACGTGAGCCTCTGCATTTACAGGCTCCGTGTACGCAAACCGCACAGCACAGAGGCAATTTGACTCAGGGTGAGCGTCTCAGGAAATGACTGCTCTCGTCTCTGCCTGGGCTGGAGAACGCAAGCACTGGAGCCCAGATGCTCTGTCTTGGCAAGAGTGCCCTGCGGTATGAAGGTCGGGCTCTGAATCTTTCTCTGACTGTGTGCTGGGGCAGCCCCGGAGCCCCGGGGCCACAGATGAACTGCCTTCTGTTCTGGCCAGCAGGGGTGAAAACCACAGCCAAAACGAGTACACATCCTTGTGCTCAGCAGCCTTGGCCTCAATTCATGAGTAATGAAATTTTTATGATCTATGGGAAGAATTAAATTATCCCTGGGTAATCCAACCAGAATACTTCCTCAGTGCCAAGCAAGTACTGTGCTTT